CAGGGAGGGTCCGGTAGGAGTTGCAGGAAGGGCAAAATCATGATTAAGATATGTTGCATGGAAAAAAAATCAAAAAAAACAAAACTATCCATAGGAACACGTGGAAACGACTGTCTGGAGTCACCTCCTGAAGCTGACTACCTGGCACTGTGGCCTCAGTGTCACCTGAGATACAGCAGGGAAGCTGCTTGGGTATGGGACTCGGTTTACTTACTGTCAGTCTGCCTATTTCAGGAGCGATGGAACCGACCTATTTGCCTCATGATTGGCTTGTATCTTTTGGCTCATAAGTTGTGGGCCTTTAGATTCCTTTCCTCCTGTGTGTGTTCTATGTGTGCAGGGGTCCCATGTTCATTGTCTCCTGTATGCATTGTATGTGGGGTACACATGTTCATTGCCTCCTGTGTGTGTTATATGTGTTTGGGGTACACATGTTCATTGCCTCCTGTGTGTTGTGTGTTGCGTGGTGTGTGTGTGTGTGTGTGTGTGTGTGTGTGTGTGTGTGTGTATGGGGTATACATGTTCATTGTCTCCTGTGTGTGTTATATGTATATGGGGTATGTGTGTTCATTGTCTCCTGTGTGTGTTATATGTGTATGGAGTATATGTGTTCGTTGTTTCCTGTGTGTGTTATCTGTGTGTGGGTCTACATATTCAAATATGGATATAGAGGTGTTGTGCATTGACCTCAGGTGTCAGGCCTCAGGTGCCTTCTACCTTTTGATACTGGTGTTTGTATATTTTGTATCTTTGGGGGATGCATGGAGGTGAGAGGAACTTGAGCTTGGTTCCCTGCTTTAATCACAGGGCCCTGCGGGCTGAGCTCCCTTCACCTTGGTGACCCACTGAGCCACCTTGCCACTGCCCTTTTCCATTTTATTTATCCTCCACTTGTTTTGTTTAAAAGCCCGTCTTTCCTTGGTGTGGAACTTCAGTTATAGTTCAGGCCAGCTGACCCGTGAGCTCCAGGGATCCACCTGCCCCCATTTCTCATCCTGCCATCTCTGGGATTGCAGGAACCAATGCCATGCCTGGCTTTTTACATGGACTATGGGGATCTGAACTCAGACCCTCCCATTTGAAAAGCAAGCGCTTTCTTGACTGAGCTGTACCTCAACCCCCCATTTCCATTCTTATTTCAAGCAGAGGGTGGGAGGGGGCTTGAGAGCGTCAAATATGAGAGCAGCCTTCTCAGGCCTCAGGCATGGCACCCACCCACAGGCAGGCCCTGTGTTTCTGAGAAAACCCTGAGACTCCTTGGGACAGTGAGTCAGTGTCCCAGATGAGAGAGCAAGGTGGTGGGGGGGGGGGGGGGGCGTGCAGAGAGCTGGCCACTAGTGGGGACCCCAAGGGTCAGCCCCGTGGGACCCAGCTGATCTAAACGGAGATGGGTCTTAGGTACAGCCATGCATGTGAGTTGGCCAGAGTGAGAGCTCGTGTGAAAGGGTCGGCTCGGGGTGACTCAGTCAGCTAGCAGACTATAAAAAAGGGAAATGACTCACTTCCAACCCTGAACAAGAACTCCTAAAGCCAGGCCGCCAGCACCTGTCTGGGACGTGGTTAGTTATTAACGCTGCCAGTAAGAGTGTCATGGGAACAGAGTGCAGAGGCTGAAGGCAGCCTGCCTTTCTACAGAGTGCAGACAGTTGCCCTCATGTTCTTGGGGCTCCTCTCCACCTTGACCCCAAATGTAGCCAAGACCTCAGATGTGTAGCATCTCTCAAGGTACATATGCCACAGAGCTGGGCATGGGAGCCACAGACCCTTGTTTCAGACCCACTGTGAGATCAGGTACCGGGATCAGCTCAGATCTAGCTTTCCCAGTGTTAGCTGTGCAGGGGCTGGCTCAGTCTCCTTCTGCCATGCAGGCACCAAACAGTGCAATTCTGCTTCCAGGACTGTCTAGTCGTCAAACTCCAGAATTCTGCTTCCAGGAAGGGTTTTGGGTGACATGGGCTGTATCAAACTAAAGGCCTCACCCATAATTATCTAACCCAGCCATACCTACCTAAGGGTCAAGCATGATGTGGCCCCAGAAGAGAGTGGTGATGGTCTTGTCTAGAGTCTCTAGTCCATTTCTTCAGCTGCTTGAGTTAACCAAGGGTGGATAGAGAGTAGGCTTTGCCCTGGGCAGAACATTGGTGGAAAGTTGAGCTAGGAGTTCAGATCAGTTCTGCCCAATCCTTTCTGTCTCCGCGCCTGGAAAAGTACAGGATGGAATGGCTTCTCCTCTCAGATCCCAAATGACGTGCCCGGCCACTCTTGGGGGCAGCCCAGCCTGGGCACTAGCCGTGCCTCTTGCTGCCAGGGTCTTGCTTTCCAAGTCCATATTGCCAGACAGGAGGAGGAAGCCTGGCAGGGCACTTTTAGCTACTCAGGCTCTCAAAGGTCCCCAAAGGAAGCCCTGGGTCGACAGGGAAAAGACGTAGTCTGGTATTTGTGGCTACCGCTGCAAAGCCCTCAAGAGCTCATAGACGCCATTTGCCCACCTGGGCTGCTGGAGGAGCACTGGGCTGGGAACTGGATCTGTGCTTCTGGGTGGCCACGAGCAATGAGCAACCCATGAACTACTGTGCTCACTGCCAGGGCTTCCACATCTGTAAAGTGGGAATGATAAGACCTGTCCTGGGTATTGGCAAAGTGTGTGCGTGTGAGGCCTGCTGAGATCACCCAGCCTGTGACAAGGCCTGGGAGTGGCTAAGGGCCACCCAGATGGAGGATGCAGTGCTAGGATACTTATGGTGATTAGCAGTCAATTTAGCAAGGCCTGAGGTCTGGGCTCCCTGGGAGGGTGGCTTTACCAGCACCCACCTGGGGCTTAAAGGCTTCTTTACCTCCCACAGCTGACAAGTCAGGTGGCTGTGATTTGTCTGAGCCTCCACAGGAGCAGCCAGCCTGCCACTGGAGCAGCCAGCCTGCCACTGTGGGCCTCTCCTTCCCTTCTTCAGGGGCTGGGCAGTGGGTCACGTAAATCCCAGCTCTTCCATCTGTGAGTGGTTCCTAAGAGACTCTGTCAATGTCACATGAATATTAGTGACTTCATGTCCCTTTCCTGATCTGCATCATCCCTGAGGTGCTGTTTCAAGTTGCTCTTGCCTTGGGAATTGTCCCAATAGTCACTTTCTCACCACTAAAGAAGACAGAGACACCTAGGAGCCTCAGATTTTATCCCGTGAGCCCAACATACCTAGGAGGTGCTCTGTAAATCACCATCAAAGATAGGAAAGTCAAATTCTCAGCATTTCCTTTTTCCAGGTTTATCTTGCTTTGCAGGGATCCACACAGCTGTTGAAGGGGGAGAGCTGTCATTGGAGGGAGTACCCCTTGTAAGGAATAGCCATCACACTAGTACTCAGTAGTTTGGGTATAGTCTTCAGTCTCATAGAATCAGGTTTTAGCCATTGGCCTTTTCCATCTCCCATCCAGACCATGGCATTCTTAAAGTCTTCCCAGATAGGTGCTTTCAGCTTAAACAATTTGACGATAGGGGATTTTCATCCTTTCTGAGGCTACCCACTCAGGTTGTCAACTCCCATTGAACAACAACAACAACAACAACAACAACAAAACCCAGAGGGATTCTGGGTGTATAGCTCAATGGTGGAGTACTTGCCTACAAGGCACATAGTCCTGGTTTCTATCCCGTGCATTGCAAATAGAAGACTCACTAGAGAGAGAGGAGATTGGAGCTATAGGCCAGCTGTCCTGTTCTTGCACTGCCCATGCAAATCCAAGTGTGGACCAGTGGATAGTTCAGCAGGTGAAGGTCCTGCCTCCAGGTCTGTTCATCTGAGTTCTATTCCTGGCGAAGAGAGCCAACTCTTGGAAGTTGCTTTCTGACTTTCACATGTGTACATGCACCCCTTCCAAAGATGTAATTTTTTTTTTTCAAAACCCATGTCCACTTCGAAACTCAGACATGGTCTTCCTTGGAAAAGGAGTCTAAGCAAGTTTTGGGTGATTCCTGAGAAGAGGACAGGAAAAGCGGGTGGTAGGGACATGGAGGCGAAGACTACACATAAACATATGTAGACTGATGTGGGGGGGCGGGGTCAGAGATCACCTGAGAAGCTTGGAAGAAAGACGCCGGCCAGGTTCTCCCTTGGAGCATCTGGAACCAGCTCTCCTGAGACCTTGACTCTGGATTTCTGACCTTGAGAACTATATCAGAGGATGAATCCTGATGTTTGAAGCCACCAGTCTGTGGCAGTTTGTCATAGAGAACCAGACATAGGTATGACTTGGCTCTACTTGATTCATCTCTGCTAATCCCCACCGCACCCCACCCCCATTCCTCTTTCTGTCTTCATA